ATAATGATGATGATGATGGTGATGATAATAATAATATTAATAATAATTATTATTATTTCTGGGAGGTTTACACAATCCCTAAAAACAAATGATAGCGATCAGAAAAAACAGTAAAAGATTTTAAACAACTAAAAACAGATGATAAAAGCAAGAAATACAAAGAATAATAAAAAGAGTGACTCCGTAACACCTGGTGTTCTTCCTAAGGCCCCTGGGTGGCTGATTAAGTTCTTAAAAAGGGGGCTGTCTTAACCTGGTGCCCAAAAGATGACAGATTTGGCACCAGCTGAACTGCAGTGGGGAGAGTATTTCATGGATGGGGCCACCTCTGAGAAGGCCCTTCCCCTTGGTGCCACCCGCTGTACCTCCCTCTGTGCTGGCACTCAGAGAAAGACCTCAGAGATTGAGTGTAGTGTCCAAGTATCTCAAAACTGGAAATCCCTGGGAAAGAGACGTGAGGCACCAAGGAGAATGAAAGGAACTAGAAAGCACACTTGCTACAGAAAGAATCCAACCAGTGGGACATTCGCTTCCACAGTGGCTGTGTCCTGCTGGAATATGCTCACGAAAGCACTCGTGAAGATGAAGAAACACAGGCAGGCGCGGCGAGCCAAAACAGACCTGCAATCCATCACGCACCTTGCCAGATGGCAGCGCTCTGCAAAATCTCAGTCTGTCCCAGAAGGTCTGTATGCCTTAAGTTCCGCTGCAAGCCGGCCCTCTCCAAACCTATCTAGTGCCCTCCAGATGTGCTGGCCTGCACCTCTGGCCAGCAGGACCCGTGGACTGTTGCTCCAACACATCTTGGAGTGGGGGAAAGTTGTGCTCCGCTGTGCTTTGACACCAGAGCAAGTTTGTAGGATTGCAGCCTGCCACAATTGGAAAAGTTCGGTGCACCAGAACTGACCTGCTTTGCCGCACCTGCACTTAAGATACGGGGCAGCAGCCTGGACACTCATCTCCCCGGCAGACGTCCACTGGATTGATTGCACAGCTTTCCTCGCCATATTCTGAGAACCACAGTTCTTTGAGGGTCGTAAGCACAGGCTTTTCACCACTGAGATGCTGCGTGGTGGAAAAGCAACACCCACCGTGCCCACGGAGAACTGGACACTTGAATTCCTGCCAAGTACAGGCTCCGAGCCCTTCTAGACATTTTCTATCTCTATGGGATAGCTACGGACCTTTCCGAAGATCCCTCAGATTGGCCACGACTTTGCTTTCACTGCCACCACCAACAGAAAACATCAAAGCATTCCCAAAACGAACAGATCCTACTGTGGTTTGTGCCTCTAGCCTTTGGGGAAGGAAAGGCATGAGTTTGCTTACCTGACCCATAATCAGCTGCTAATTAAATCTTCCATGGTAAGGCTTCAGAGAAGAGAAACAGTCCCACATGAAGAGGCAAAACCATCTTGTGAGCAGCGAAGGAGCTGCTCTGGGTCCTGGAGGGTTCCTCCCCATGGTTTATGGATCCAAGGAGTATCGTACAACGACATACCCACAAAAAGTGTGGGGGAAGGGGAAGGAGCCAACCAGTGACATGGGATTTTTCCATTCTGTGTAAGCACTCAAAATCAAGAGTGAGAAACGGTCCCATCTTGCGTTTCCTTTCCTCAGCCAAAAGGGTCAGAGGAAGGTTATGGGAAAATATGAAACATGTTGTCTCTTGGACAGAAAGATGTAACACATGCTCAGTGCAGGAAATGCACAGGAAAGAGCCCGAGAGGACGGGAGCGTGCTGCCCAAAACATTCCCATGGAAACCAACCCTAAATAATATCTGGCTATGGATTTCACAGATGTGCTCATCACCTGAATCGCTGACTCCTTTCAACAACTCAGAACGCTCTCTCTTTCTGCTCTCCCCCCAAACTAAGCCTTTTCACTGCCTGCAAATGCTCTTCACAGAGGAAGGGAAGGCGGAAAAGGGTTTGGACCTTAGGTTGGCACTGCCAACAAGGAATATCCAGTGTGAATTGAAGGATGCAAAGGCACCAGTTGGAGCTCGTACTCGCCGGAGGTAGCACGGGCCAGAGGAGCAGAGACTCAACCGCTTAGCGCAGGCATGGGCAACACGTGGCCCTCCAGAGTTTTGGGGCTTGCAACTCCCAAGATCCCTCACCCCTGGTATCCTTGCTAGGGTTGCTGGGAATTGCAGGTCAAAACTATGGCAGGGCACAGATTCCCCACCCTTGAGGGAGCCCGGTGTGCAGCCTTCTCCAACATGGGGGGGGGGTGCAGTCTAAGACACTTGGGGAGGGACTAAAGGTGAGGAATTCTGGGAAATGCCACTGCAATCCCACATTTTCCAATTGCTTCCTCGTCTGTTTAGCCTTCATGATTACCTTTATATGCATTCCACAAGACTTATTTTTATGGCTTTTTGTAAGCTGTCCTGAACCAGGATGGTGAATTCAAACACATATTAAATAGCAATAATATTTAATAACCATTCCTATATATAATTCTTCCAAAAAACATCTTAAAACAGGAAAGGAACCCAGGGTATCTGGAGCAAGAAATGCACATCCCTCAAAGAACTAAATTTAACACTGTAAAATCGTTTTTCCTCTTCAAGGTACCAGAAGAATCTTTTAGTTGTATAAGGCTAACATGTTAGAAATCAGTCCAATGAGGACTTTTCCTCACCCGAAAAGGGTCTTCAAAGAACACTGATAAATCAACAAGTTGTCTTAATGATCTGTAGTGCTGAGATTATACAGTGAACGCTGATGAATTTTTCATTCTCACAAGGTTGACATTTTATTTGGCTGTTCAGGGCTAAGAAAGGGGGGGAAAGATGGAGAGTGTGAGAGGTAGAGAGAGGGGAGCTGGGGATTATGGGAATTGCAGGCTGACACATCTGGAGAGCATCAGGTTGGGAAGGGAAAGCTAAGATAGCAGGTGGGGAACTAATGCAGAAAAACAGTCCTATCCAAATGGAAAAAAATGCCTCTCCCAAGAAGGTACCAGCCACCTACAGATTTCCATTATGAAACTAATTCTTAAAAAAAAAATCTTTTTAAATCTGGCACAGAATTAAGCTGAGGATACATTTTTAAGTATGAAAATTAACCTTCTTGTTCACTGATTGACTCCTTTCCTAATCATTCAGAAGCACTGCACTTCCCCTTGCTGGACCTCAGAACTGGGAGCCCAGGCTAGTGCACTGGGGCTTTCCAGGTGGCCCAGTCTCCTCCCCCGACCACAGATGGTTTCCTGGCTTCCCAGCTTTGGTGCAGGTGCTCTCCACACTCGAAATGCTGCTCATATGGTCCAGTTTCTGCCAGAGCGAGAGCTTTCAGCTAAAATGCACCATCTCGGTATGTCTGTTCCATCTCCCTTGCCTTGGGGCCTGTTCACCCCTGGAATGCTGTTCCCGCCCAAGCAGAATTTGGCCCAGGGAATGAAAAAGGAGCCCCTCTTAGTTAAGGTGGAGAACCTAAGAGCCGTAACTCCTTTTGCTCATTGTCTAGGATAAAAACCTGTCACTTCCAAGGGCCTGGATCTTGCTCTGTCTAGGCAGCAAACCCAAAGCAAAGGGATGCAAGGTGGGCTCAGCTTATGGAGACCCATCTTGGACAAAAAGGAAGCTTTGCCGGTGCAGGGAACTGCTGTTTGGAAGGAGCCACTGGGACCGACCCCCTGCTTGGTGCAGGAATCCAGCTGAAAGCATCCCTGGCAGTCTTTGCATGAGCATCTCCAGCAAAGGAAAGCTCACCCCGTCACAGGGCGCTGTTTCCACGGCAGGACTGCTCCAATGGTTAGGAGCAGTTTTCTGATGTCCCGCAGAAATCCATCCTCCTGTTGCTCCAGCCTGTTATTGGGTGTCCTACGGCCTTGGATGGCACAGAACAGGCTGCAGTATTTTTCTCTGCGATATCCTTTTGTGTGCCTGGAAGACTCTTCCACAGCCTTTCTTCCCACCTAATCTTCCTTCCCAAGGCCAAACAGGAGCATTTCTTCACGGGGAACCCCCCACCCACGGCATCGATCGCCCTGGTCGGCACCAGGTGTGCTTATGTGATGCTCTTTTGCACCTTGCCCGTCTTCCTCTTGCAAGGAACCCAAGGCGGCCTGCAAGGCTCTTTTCTCCTCAGAACAACGACCCTGTGAGGCAGGTGAGGCTGAGAGTCAGTGACCGTCCCAAAGCCACCCAGGGAGTGTCACAGCCGAGTGGGAACTAGACCCAAGCTCCCAAATCGCAATCCAACACTCGCCTGGCCTGGCCACACTGGCGCTCTGCTCTCTCTGCTGGGCTGGTGGAATGCTGGGATGGATATCTAGCAAAAATATTGGGGGAACCTGCTAGAGCCCACCCAAGCAGAGGAACCACTGCTGTCCCCCCAAAATACACCATGAGCCCCTTCTCTTTTTGCCCATTCACCTGCCCCTCTCGAGCACACAGCCGGGGACAAGAAGAGCATTGCTCTCTTCGTGGCTTCCTCTCTCTCCTTCTGAGCAGGGGTGCAGGTCAGGCCCAGAGGAAAGTGAAAACTGATAAACAGTGGTGACAGTAAGCTGGGGAAAGGGCAGGCATGCCCAGCCAGCCAGCCAAAGACCACGGTAGCTTCTGTTCTCTCTCAGCAAGCACCAACAACTCACTGGTTGGATCTTTGCTGCAGCATTTCCGCAACCCCCTGCAGCCTCTCCAATGGGATGCCGTCTGGATGCAAAGGACCGTCCCGCCCAGATCCTGGGAGCTGGGCCTGGAACACCCAAAGGGTGCCTGACTGGGGAAGGCAGCCCCCATAGGTACATGCAGAGAATTCACAGGAGTGATATCCCCACCCCACCCCCAGAAAAGCAAAAAGCAGCAAATTAACTCCTCTGGAATCGCTGCCATGCCTGATTTCCTACTTCGGCAGGATGAAATCCTCATTCCACTCAAACGCCTGTGCTGAGAAACGAAATACAACACAACAAGACACAGCCTTATCCCAGGGGAGACTGGGAAGTAATTTCTAAGCTCAAGTGAGTAACTCATTAGTTTCTTACCTCAGCTACCAACAGGGGGTATTCGCCCTGGGGCAACATGCAACATTACCTGTAGGAAAGAGAGAGAGACATTAATTTTCTGTGGGCTTTACTCAGGAGTAAACACCATGAAAAAGCAAAAGTTTGGCACTCTTCATTCTCCTAAAGTGGGAGCAGGGTCCCATCTAGCCCACCAGATGGCAGACTACAACTCCAATCATCCCCAACCAGTGGCCATGCTGGCTAGGGTTCATGGGAACTGAAATCCAGCCACTTTTGGAAGGCCACAGCTATTCATGAACACCGGGAAAGCAAGATCAATGGGGAGAAAAACAACTGCTTGGCGATATTCCGTGTGCTAGGAACACGGCGTGTTCTCTCTCCGTGTAAGAAAACTTGTCTTTGCTGAAACACAGCTCATCCCAGGTCCACAGGTCTTCTTCCTCTCAGGTGGCAATGCCCACAGCCCTCAGACCTGATATAGGACACCGACGGTGCTCGCTTTTGGTTCAGCCAGCCCATTTGGGGAGGGGGTGGAGGTGGAGACGGCAAAGGAGTCCGAGAACAGGATGTCATCCCCAGTCAAACACAGTTCAAGCTTGATGTGTTAGCACGCAACATGCTGTGCCTGGATAAATAAAAAGAATGTGGCAGCTGGGGGAAGATGCACTGGGGAGACGGGAAAGATTAACTGCTTCGGAATGCTTTCGGACCCTACCTGTTTTAAATTAAGGCCCAGGGATCTCCCCCCACCCACCTTAAATCCTTGACAAACACGGATTGTTGGCACAGCTAGCATGTTGAAACCTAGTTTCGCTGACATGCCCCGAGCCTTCAGACGCAAACATGGAGCACCCCCTCCTTTCAAGAATGATAGCGAACCGTGTGGCATCTTCTCCCACACCCAGCCTTGAGAAGCACACGAAATTCACACAATGCACGATTATTTTATACCCTGAAAAAAGATTTCTGCTACCTCTCTCGGGATTCTTTCTGTCCACCTGTCATGCGCTGATTGCTCTAGGTACTGTTTCTTTGATTGACTGATTTTGTTATCGAAGCAGTAATCTATTTATTGGGTGTACTTCTAAAACGCCAAATAACCTGAGGTTTCTGGGCAGCACAGAGCTCATGAAATACATCCTGAGAATGACAAATCGGGAGGGTGCAGCATAAAACTGAAATGAAACCAGCAGCAAAGAATGAAACCGATAATTCAACAGATAAAATTGAAATAAAGCCAGTACCCAACAAAATATGAAAAAATGCTAAAATTGACAGCATGCTTTGTAAATTACCTGGGCCTAAATAAGAAGGATTTCACCAAGCACAAGAAAGACCATAACGTAAGTGCCAAGCAAGACTGAAAAGAGGGCATGCCACAAAGAGGGTGCCATGACCGAAAAGGCCCTGTCTTTAGCTACCATCTACCTCAGTTCATTTGGTAGGCACACTTGGAAGATGCCTTTGGATGATGACTTCAGGGAGGTAAATATGGATGTGGTTTGTAAACTATCAACCTCTGGAATAGGTAGAAAATTGGATTTGGATTCTGCTTTTCCTCCCTGGGGCTGATAGTGGCCCGTGCAGGGTCAGATCCTAACTGCCCAAGCTGCAAGAGAGGTTCTGATTCTTTCAAAGCTGCATGTAAGCAGTGTAATCTCAAACAGAAATATTTCTTACAATGCTCAGTGGATCTTACTCCCAGGTAAATATGATTAGGATTGCAGCTGGAATTTTTCTAGCCATTGCCCTTGTTCACACATAATGCTAACACGTGGCTCATTTAATCCATGATTTGTCTGGCAGATGATTTAACAAACCATGGTTTGTCCTCTCAATTCCTGGGTTGTTTCCTTCCTTCCTCTTTCACCCACCTCCTTCCTATACCCCAAAACCTTTTCCAGCATTGTTTTAACAGCGTGAGGAGTGGAATTTGTTTGTTTGTTTATTACTGCTGCCGCCCACTGTTTCTGAAGGCTGGTGAAACAACCTATGGTTCTAAGTTCACACATACGATCCACTCCTGATTTAAACAACTTACGTGTTCTCAACCCAACAACAAACCATGGGTTCTTTTTCTGGGTTGTTCAGGGTTAGCAAAGCATGGTTTGTTAATGCGGTCGCATTCACACTTCACAGCCACTTAAAGTTTCAACAATCCACACTATGGCATTTTGTTCCATGCAAACTGGGTCACTGAATTCCTTCAGCAGCCAAACCCAGCCTCTGTACATCTACTCAGAAGTAAGAAGGACAAGCCTCCAAAGCCAGCAGGCCTGGATCGTCCAGAAGACAGGCCACAAATCTATCAAGAGGCCTGCGCCCAGCTAGTCAAGACGACCAGCACAGCGGCGCCTTCAAGATTCAACTAGTTTATGGCAGCATTTTGAATTGTGTGAAGCAACCCCAAGCCATCTTCTTCCGCACAGAACATTTGCTACCCACATCATCTCTGAATTATCCATTAATCCCTTCCTTATTTTCTCATCACAGCCCCTGTTTCCGCCCTTCTCAGCCCTGTCAGGACTGTACCACTTTATCTTCTTTTCTATTCCTCCTTCTGTCCCGTCCCGTCCCGTCCCTTCCCTTCTTCTACTGTCAAACTTTACAATGTAAGCTTGTTGATGGTGGGGACCTATCTTTTTGCTGAGATTACAAAGTCTGCCTTAAATGGAGGGCACCCGAAAGAAGGCAAAGTTGTTAATAGGGGTCAGAGCTGCTGAAGGAAGAAATGTCCCTTGGGTAATATTCTAGAGATCTTTTCTCTAAACCAAAGGCAATCGTTTAAAACGCTGAGGCTCTTTTTCAGAGCTGATTTTCTAGACCTGAGAAGCCTGAGGGCCTCTGAGAATCAGCTGGCCCGTGCTATTTTACGTAGATCCAATGCAGAGGGAAGTGGCAAGAATGCAAACTAATGCCACTGATACTATACAATATTAGCATTTTGTATTGTTTTATTATTGTGCAATGTGCTCCTACTGGAAAAGCGCCGCTGCATGACAGCTCAAATAGACATGATGCAAAACAACTTCTTCTAAAATGGCCTAAACAAATTGTTCCCAGAAGTCCATTTCATCCATGTTCTATTCCAATTTTCTAATTTTCCAAATGTTGCAACTGAAACCCAGCTCTGAGGATTTAACCCCCCTGCCAGCACCCCCACAGAAAACATCTCAACAACTTGACATTTCAAGCACAACATGTTTAAACCTCAACGGGTCATTTTCTAAGTTTACAGCCAGCATTATCTGTGCTCAATAAAACAAAGCTACGCTTTCCATCCTGTTCTCCTGGTCAACACAGCAATCATCCTGTAAGCCGGCTTTTGCCAACTCACTGTCCCACAAATTAGTTTTAAATCGGCTCCCTGGAAAAATCACGAGGAGGTTTGACTGGCATCAACCTCACCATCTTTTCAGCCCCAGGTCAAGACACTGTTATTTAGCCGAATGTGTAACTTGCTTCTGTTGGTTGTACAGTGTTATTGTTTGGCAGGATTTTGTTGTTATTATGACTAACTGTTTTAATTTTATCCTGTCAAACTTGTAATCCAGAATTTTTAGGCCTCACTGCCGCCGTGCTGGATGTGAGTCTAGAAAATTTAAGGAAAATAAACAGACATGGGCCACTTCCAGGATGCTGGAAATGAAATGAAAACGAAAGGCCACTGAGAAATGAAAATGGAAGAAGGTTATGCAGTGTGGCTGTTACCATAGGTGTCCTGGCCACTATGGAAAAAAATATGAGGCAAGATACACCTTTAGGCAGAACAGACATTTTGGCAAATTCTGCAATGGACTCCAACGAGTGAGATTTTCTAAGAATCCCACCTGCAGATTCTGCAACCGCCCAGCTTTTCCGAATCACGGAGATCAGGTCTTTAAAACATTATGTGATTTTATACAAACACATTCATCAAGAAATACAAATCAGAATAATAATATGCAGCAATGGGCATTTCTGCCACAGACGAAAGCACAAAAAATAGGCATCTGGGGGGATTTTAATTGTGCATTTTGGAGGAATGTGAATTTGTGCAATGCCAAATTGGTGCAAATGGGTAGACACATATTTGCAGAAAAACGGATTCCATCACTGGGCAAAACACAGCATGAAAGATGCCTGCAATCTGTGAAATAGGGGCAGCATAGTTTTGGTCAGTCCTAGAGGAGATCAACCCTGACTGCTCTTTAGAAGGCCAGATCCTGAAGATGAAACTCAAATACTTTGGCCACCTAATGAGAAGGAAGGACTCCTTGGAGAAGAGCCTAATGCTGGGAACAATCGATGGCAAAAGAAGAAGGGGACGGCAGAGGAAGAGGTGGCTGGATGGAGTCACTGAAGCAGTTGGTGTGGACTTAGGTGGACTCCGGGGGATGGTGGAGGACAGGGAGGCCTGGAGGAATGTTGTCCATGGAGTTGCATGGGTCCGACATGACTTCGCGACTAACAACCACAACAAAGTTTTCACAACATCCTTGCATCCCTAGCCAGACTCCAGCAAAGCTGCTCTTCTGTTCTACTTCCCATTGCAGATGGGTTAGACAGGAAAGAACGGCGCTAGCTCCACCGGACTAGGATGAAGAACCTGAGGCCCACCTGGTGGTGGTGGGGAGACCTAGAGGGCTTCACCCCATTCCCTGCCTCCCCAAACATGTGGGGGCTGCCTGGCTTTTGGGCAGCCCCCCAAAATTCCAAAACCCCTCCAGTGATGTAAGAAGTGGCATTACTGACTGCAAGAGCAGAAATGTATGGGCACCGTTGTCCCCACAGCTTTTTGCCCTGCTCTGGGGATTGCTGAAAAGGAATCTGCTGGAAAGGGGCTGAAAAAGCTTCTGCACCCCATCCTGGAAATGTTCTGAAATTGGCTGTGCGCACAGACGGGACGCGCAGAGACTGCCGTGGCACGCAGATGCGCAGCAGAGGCAGAGCGGTGCCAGCTCCGCCTGTGCCGTGCCCCTTCTGGCATCCAGTCCTGCTCCCTCCCGTCACACACACACCCACCCAACTTGCACGCCAGGCGAGAACAAGGCAGCCACTTCTGCATCAGATTTGCACAACACTGGCATATTATTATAATTATTATAACATTATCATTATTGCAGCGCAATTAAATGCAGGCACATCGCTATAATTACTATCACAATTATTCCCATACGTATTATGTAGGCATAACAATGCATACTCTAATAGATATTATATGTGTGATTATTCCATTTATATCCTGCCTGTTTCACCCATGCAAGGCAGCTTGCATGGTCCTCCTGCTTGCTAGTTCACCCTAACAACAACCCTGTGAGGTAGGCTAGGCTGAGAGCCAGTGACTGGTACCCTGTGTGGGGACTAGAACCCAGATCTCTTAAGCCTGACACGTTAACCACTACAGCAGACTGGCTTTCAAACTGAGAAGTAAACAGAGGAAGCATGGTTTCAACAAGAAATACAGGACACCTGCCCCTAGTGCAGAAGACGGTGGCCAGGTGACTCGCATGCCTACCTGTCCTGCCCATTGCTCAGGTGCTGATGAACAACAGTCTTAATGGTCTTGCATCTACCTGGACAGGGCATCCATTCCCACAGAGGACTGTCTTCTCTAAAGGTGACACCTGGCCAGGCTAGGTGCGAAGCAAATTTCTGCTCATCCCTCAAGGAACTCTTACCTGAGACCAAGGAAAATATAACCCCAGCAGAGAAAACGCAGATGCAACCGCAGAATACTGAAGAAATTCAAGCCCATCCTCAAACTGGAAAGTGAGTTCAATTCAAGAGCCGGCCGGTTTCCTTTTTACTTCGCCCTGCCCTGTCAGCTCGCTCCCAGTTCGGAGCAGCACAGAAGAAAAACCCTGGCAAGGGGAATAAATGGCAGGAAGCGTCTGAATGCAAAGGAGAAAAAGAAGAAAATGGAAGAGAAAAAGGAAATGGGGAAAGAATGACAGAATCGGGGCTTGAGGCGGATGAAGTGAGAGCAGCCGAGCTTGCGCCCGGGACCGCAGCGTGCTATTTCTTGGCTCACCCTTGGCAGCTGGGATGCAGGCCAAGATGTTAAGTTATTATATTCAAAGGACCATCTGAACTCCTCCTGCCCCACAACCTCCAGCAAGCCTGCCTTGTGGCATTCGTTTACGCTGGGTATCCATTCAGTATGAGGCTATATTTTCCACCTTCTTAATAATAAAAGCCTGAGAGTTTAGGACTCCCATATGGTCTATTGTTAAAATTATTTCCAAGCTCGGAACTGCAATTCTGCATGTCAAATCTCAGCTCGGTGTTCAAGAATATGACTTCGAATTCCCTTCTTCATTTTTGAGGAAGGAGTGGGGAATATGCCCGGATAAAGAAATATAGCTTAGAGGTCCGAGGAAAAAACCTGCAAAAGCTGGAGGTGAAGAAAGCTGGGGAAAGATCTATGGAGGGCTAGGTTTGGGCTTTCTTAAGCTCGCTGTCACATGCTGACTGTTTTCTGCATGAAGAGGCAGCTGGCACTGCCCCGAGCAGGGGGTGGGCGAGCGAGGAGGGCTTTCAGAGACCCTAAACCACCCTAACAAAAGAAGACCACACAGAAACAATCTGCTCACAAAGACGCCCGGTCTGATTATGCTGCTCCTATTTAAAAAAAAAAAAAATCCAAGAATTCAACCCAAGAGTTAAGGCAAACCACACCATTCGGATTCATCTTCTCCAAACATTTGCAGGACTATCATCAGAAATACCAAAACTTGAGAAAGCCAAACTTACAGCGCAGTTTGTTTACTAATAATGCCTGGCTGGGCCAAACAGTCTAGAACACACAGTTTATAACATCCTCGACACATATTTCTGCACATTTTGCCTTTTTTTTGTGGGGGGGGGAGGTTCTAAAGGAGACTTTCGCCAGCCTGGTGTTCTCCAGATGTGTTGGGACTGCAGCTCCTGGGGATGCTCGGTGGGAAGCTGGTCTTGGGAAATCTGGGTTCTAGTCCTCATTAAGCTGTTAAGCTCCCAAGACAACCATCACTGACAATCAGCCTAGTTTCTCCTTCCCAGTCCCCTTCCCCTTCCCCCGTACTACTTTTACTACTACTCTTCACTTCTGTAGCCAAACTCTCTGGGTGGTTCACACCATTTCAGTCCCCCATCCAGATTTCAACCAGGCCTGACCCCGCTTAGCTTCCAAATTTAGGCAGGATCAGGCACTTCAGGCTATATGGAACCTATGGCCTACTTCTGTGAGGATAACATGGGGAGGAAGAAGAGGATTACATAAGCTTCCTTGGGTTCCTTACAGAGAAAAAGGCAGGATCAACACAGAAGAGCAGTAACCCCTTTTAAAGCCATCCAGATTGGTGGCTTTCACACTGGGACAGCGAATTCCACTGAACTATCCAGCACAGAAACAGCAAAATTGTTGCAAAACTATCTTTTCTTGGTTTATTTACCAAGGGGATCTGCAATAAAATGTTGCAGTGTATCCTCACTTCTCCACAGCCCTGCCTTCTCTCCAGCGGAGCATGAACTCATACATAACCCACCACCCATTTTTGCTCTTTCTGAAATGCTCAACAGCCCTCAGCTATTACTCATGCCCAATCGTGGCTGGACTGTTTTGCTTTCTTGCTGGTTTTTTGTTTTATTTATTTATTTATGGTGCCTTTGCAAACTCTGGGGAGCCCGTGAATATATATCAATGCCACCCTCTTGCTTTTTCGCGGTTCTGGTTGGTATTCAGCCTCTCCGTTCGCTATTAGAGGGAGTCACCAGTTAAACAGAATGGATGCACATTTCAGAGTTATGATCCCAAAAAGAAAGGGGAAAAATGCCACATTACGTTCTATTTCTGCCTTCTCGCTTGCTGTTCCACTAGGTCAGCCCCAAAACCACAATACATATATGGCTGCAGAAGCCTAGAAGCTAAGCTATGGCCATCAGAGATTCCAACCACGGGCACAGCCAAAATTCAAATAAGCAATACCCCATCTGACATCATGAGCTAGATTTTTTAAGGCTTACATCATATCCCAACTTTTGTTCCCCAGGGTAAAGCCACAGAGCCAGAGCGCTTTGGCTATGCAGTGGCACAGAACTGAATGAAATAATACGAAACACACGCATGTATTGGGCACTGACACAGGACGTGCTGACTTTCATGGCACACGCATCTCACAACGAAAGAGCAGTCCAGTGTAGGGGTTAACGCCGCCTGACTAAGCCCGGAGGGACCCGGGCTCAAACCTCTGCACCGTTCTGAACATGCACTGGCTGACCCTGGGGCAAGCAGCAGCCCTGGGCCTAGCCTGCCTCATAGGGCTGTTGTGAGGACAAAAGGGGAACAGGTATGATACAACCAGGTTTAGGTCCTCGGCCCCCTTGGAAGGAAGTGTGGGGGACGCACACCATGAACACACGTGCAAAGCAGCCATTGCTCACCAAGACCAGAAAGAGAGACAGAGGGCTATATTGCCTTGCACCCCAGGTGTTCGCTCGGAGGAGAGTTCACACATGTTCGTCTGTCAGCTGTCAAGCAATGAGAATGCAGGCAAGAGTACATGCTTGCAGATGCACGCGCTCTCTCTCACACACACACACTCACACACACAGCTGTTCCATGTCAAATGTTACAGAGGGCCACTGCTAAATCCCAAGATTGAGGCCACTGTCAAGCATCTAGACTCTTTCTAATCAATAAACCCCCTGGATCAATCCAAAGTGGAAAAAATCATTGTATTTAGGAGTACGCCTTTGGAAACCCTCTTGGAGACCCTTATTCAGCTTGGACAATGCAGCCACAGAATGACCAAGAAAGGTGACACGGTGGGGATTCCGGAACAAGGGTGGGCAAGACTGCAAATCCCAGGGACCCGTTTTGCCCCCATTCCCGGGAGCTCTGTCACCAACATAGGCTATATTCCACAGGATGCTGGAGAAAAATGTGAGCGATTTGCTCAAAGGGGCACAACACTGACCATTTTAGTGCTTCGAGGCCCTAAAACTACTCTTTCCTCCAGCGCTGTCACCACAGTAGACACGTGCAACCCTTCAGAAATGGGACACAGACTTGTCAACTCCCTTGCCCCAAATTCGCCAGTTCCTACAGATTTTGCCTTCTGGTTGGGCTTCCAGCTCCCCTGCCCAGGAGGAGTCATGCACACAGACAAGATTCTTTTTCAAAAGGATGTTTTCCATCTGTCGTATTACACAGTGGTTTGCATTCGCAACTGAGCTGCCACTTTCCACCCAGTAATTACCAACAAGGAAACCTGGTCAGTCATGTGGATGCAGCAACACTGGTGGAACCTGCTTCGAAAAGGAAACCTGGTTATGCCTTTCGCACGCAGCCGGCAGTTCTTATTCCTGGAGAATGTTGCTCGTGGGGAGAAAATACTGGATGGGGTTTATAAATAGAAAACCTCAAGGCACGCTATAGAGAGGGGGACAGGAGACCAGAGCCACTCCAAAAAAACAGCGCTGGGGCATACCAAAACAGTGCAAGAGCACCGTGGAAGTTTAACCCTTTCTGCACGAATTTAGAACCACCAGGCAAGGATTGCCCAGGGCAGTTTTCTACAAGGAACGGCTCAGCCTATTTTCAGCCGGGCACAACTTTGCAAGGGTTTGTTAGAATCTCTGTTCCGTCCTGTTTCCACGTTAATGTATGCATTAAAACAATCCTTTAAAATGTGCACATAAAGACACACTCTGGCACTCTGGTGCAAAATACAGAGAAAAAGAAGCTAACTACTGAAGTAGTTAAGCCATTCCTAAGGGCACAATCCTGTGAACTTTGAGATGGGCTGGGGGGGATTCCAGCTCTCCCAACCAGCCCTGCAAGTGTATTGCTTGCCTCGAATAGCTAGTTTTAAAGTGCATGTTGGCATACCTGTCTCAAGAACTGCAACACAAAATTCAGCAAAGGGCATGATCAGGAGGAAAATTAAGTCCTGGTTCAAAGATTAAGTTGGGAAGTGGACAAAAGGGGTTGGTTTGCACCTCAATTTCCAAAAGTTGGATGCTTCAGGCATCCTCTGGCAAAGCAGGAGTGGGACCCTAAGTCCTTCTAAATACTCTCAGACTCTAGCACCTATCCCAGTCAGCATGGCCAATGCTGAGGAATTATGGGATTTGTAGTCCAAATTCCTCTATGGGTCCACAGTCTGACCCTGCCATGGAGTATACTAAGACTCTAAAACGTTTTTAAGACCAGATGCTTCAGGCTAGAAATAAGACACATCTCATGTATTCTAACAATTTCAAGAAAGCGTGTGTAACCAAGATGGATCTTGGTCTGTCCAGCCACGTTCGCTGCAGCAGCAAGATCGTGAAATCTAGAAACATGCAGCTTGGCATGCATACAAAGAGGTCCCTCGTGCTGCGCACCTCGGGATATTTTGCTTATAAAACACACCAATGCATTAATTGATTTAAATGTCTGCGGTTGAAGTAACACCTTTGGCCACTAGGAGGAGCCCCATGCAGCTTGGGACTTCGTACAGATCTATCATCGCAGGTTTCTATCTCACCTCTTCCCCTCTCGCAAGGAATCCAAGACGTCATGTGATTCCCCCTCCTCTCTATTTTATCTTCACACAGCCCTGTCAGTTTTACTGCCAAGCGAGGATTACAGTGTGGATCTCCAGGGTCACAGTCCAAAACTCTTATCGTATGCCATGCTGGCTCTCATTCCCACCAGCGGAACGGAGCGGAGGCTCCTCATTCAAGCGGCTAAAGGGGTCCACACAGATACGCACCTGTGGGTGTTATTTGAACGTGTTCTGTGAAAAGCTTACTGTATGTGTAGTTTGCCATCAGTTCTTATTCACCACCATTACGGAGATGCCCGTAGTTTCATTTAGGCTCCTGGCTTGGGGTTTTCAGATGTCAGTAGCTGTAATGAACCTCTTTTTAAAACCATATAACCTTATGCCTGCTTTATGGTTTTGGGAGAATCATAACCAGGAAGGGATTTGCTCTCCCATCCAAGGTCTGTTCTCAAAACATACAAATCTGTCACATCTAAGCAGAAAGGAAGTAAGGAGGGAGCAAGGTTTCTGCAGAAAGAAAGTTGATCGGGTGGTGAGTGTAGAGTTAGTTCAAAAGTTAAGGGCAACCCAAGAAAAAAGAAAAGGGGTTCCACCCTTAAAAGCAGCCTACAAAATAAGGTTAAATCAACAGAAGGGAAGAAAAGTTACACTCCCTCCCCCAAGGGAACACCTTGGTGCAGGTTTGGCAACATGCAAAAAATAGCCAGTATGGGTGCGGAGAATCTGTCAGGGGCAGGATAAGAACTGAGGACCAGCAAAGGAATCGAATGTTGCAAGCTAGGATAGAATTCTATGCAGAAGGAGGCCCTTCTGGGTGCAGAGGGGATTCTCCTTCGACAGGCGTCAAGATTGCAAGACATGCGTGGTCCAGATATGCTTGTCAGCAGAGCATGAGAAAACCATCTAGTGGTTTTCGCACTTCACAGGCCAAACATGAGCCAGCGACGTGATACTGTGGCTCGAAAGACTAACCCAATTCTGTAACAGGACAGAATGCCAGGATGCCAAGAAGGAGGCCGCCTGCTATTCTACTTTGCTTAAGGGTCCCCTTGGCATTCAGTACCCATTCTGGGCAGGGGACACTGGTGAGTCCTATCTCAGTGGGCTCCATGGTGGTGAATCTATTCAGCATGCAATTCAGCACCAAGGATAGTTCCGACACAGCTCAGAATAAAAGAGGCAATGGGTAAGGGGCCCCACGGACATAGGGGTCGCCAGCCCCCCCCCCCATGGGCAACAATGCGAGCATTTTACCCCCGCACTGGGGCAATCTGGGTCAGGGTTGCAGCTCAACCTCCTTCAGACCTGATAGAAATCATTCCCCATGCTTAGCATTAAGAATCAAAAACTGAGCTGGTTTCAGATGACGCATTTGGCATCATGTACAGTTTGACCCTCAGCTATAAAACCGCCAGTCTGGCTTTGCCTCTGCCATGACCTCTTAAGGAGGCCTTAAGCAAGTCCTCCCCGCACCCTTTAGTCTCCCCATCCGCAAAATGGGGAGTCATCACTCCATCTTACCTTACAGGGTTGTAAGAATTCCAGGGTCATGCCAAATGCAAGGCAGATTGAAATATACTCACAGGCACACACCTGGCTGACTAGGAAGACGGGAATCACTCCATCGAATGACAACAACTGCCTCCCCACACTCAAATTCCCT